TCTGCCTTGGGCAGACCGCATGTGGAATATTGTCCTCAGCACTGGTACTACATTTTAGGGAGGATTGTGATAATCTGGACTGCATCTACAGAACAGTCAGGATGATAAAGGGGACCATAGGAAAAATGGTTGAAGGAGCTAGAAGTGTTTAGCCTAGGCAAGACTTAGGAGGGACAGGACGGCTTTCTTCAAATATTTGAATGGCTAGTTCTGGAAGATGGAAGACTTATTCTGCTTAGTCCCAGAGGACAAAATTAAAAACAATAGGTGGAATTTGCAGAGACAGGTTTTTGGTTCAATTTTAAGGGAAAATTCCTAACAATTAGAATGGTCCAAAAGGAGAATGGGCTATCATGGAGGTAGTGGATTTCCAATCAGTGAACATCTTCAAAGCAAACGCTAAATGACAACCTGTCAGGCTGAGAATATGCTAGCCCTCTGATCCCATGTAAGCTAGGCTAGTTTTTCCTTAAATGGTCAAGACTTACTTGGCTCAGGGGACTAAGAGCTTAGGCTGTTGACATCACTTCCTAATCACTTATATACAAGACAGCCACAAGGAACTCCAGAAACAAGCTGCTGCTTGGCTAGCAGGCCCTAATGGGCAATTGAGGGTGGGGGGCGGCGGAGGAGGGGTCTTTGCTCAGCTGACTAGGATTGTCCTCAAGGCATATCCTTGTTGAATGTCATTCTCCTGCCATGGATAAGTAGATCTTCTTTTGCTGACTGTTGAATGGCTTCTAAGTATCTCGTTTCATTCCTAAACTAAACTAAAAAAATTGGTCTGAATGAGACCCAGTCCAGAATAGATGCAGACAAGTTTCTCATTCCATTAGACTGTAAGCTCCTTGAGGGCAAGGGCTATCTTTTGCCTCTTTTTTGTATTGCCAGCATTTAACACATATGTGCCTGACACATGGTAGGTGCTTAACAAGTATTCATTCACTGATTGATACAGATGACCTGTGAGATTCCTTCTTTGAGATTTTATGATTCTGTGATTCTGTGAAATTAACTCTCATTCTCACAAAGTTAAAGGAACTTCATACATAGGGAATTAGTTACATTGAAAGAAACTTGGCAGTTACTGTAGTGGCAGGAAGAGTGGGGCTCTGTATTTTCTCTTTCTTGATATAAGTAATACCATTTTAGAATAAATCTCCATTTTAATGTGAATGGGCAAGTCATATCTAACTCCTATATTTCACCTTCCTTCACCCAAGTTCTTTTGTTTGTTTGTTTTTGGCTAGGCAATGGGGTTAAGTGACTTGCCCAGGGTCACACAGCTAGTAAGTATTATGTGTCTGAGGCTGGATTTGAACTCAGGTCCTCCTCAATCCAGGGCCAGTGCTCTATCTACAGAGCCACCTAGCTGCCCCCCTTTGCCCAAGTTCTTATACAAGAAGATACAAAAAAGAGTCTATCCTGTCTCATACCTCCAAGGCTAATGATAGACTAGCATATTAGATGGAAGAGTGTGCCGGCCGCGCCGTGCACTCTCCTCCTATAAGGAGCAGGCTGCCAGAGTCATACTTACCAGTCTTCGGTGCCCACCCAGATAAACACAGAGACGAGCCGATCAGGAGGTGCAAACACTCGAGCTTTATTCAGAGGCCATCACAGCAAGGCCAAGCAGGAAAGCAAGAGCAAGAGAGCAGGAGCAAGAGAGAGCGAGCTCCGACCACTACTGTCCCTTAAGTACCTACTTAGCCCCTCCTCCTCAGCCCGCCTACTAGTCATTGATTGTAGGATCAGATACCGGGAACGGGATGTCTGGGGTTAGTGCTTAGACAAAGGGAGAGTACATGACACAGGAAGTCAGGCCCAGATACCGGGAGGAGGCGTCTGAGGTTAGAGCTGCACCTAGGGAGAGGACTAGACAAAGGGAACTTGTTTTCTGCTGTCCCACTCCCATGTGTCACAGCCCCCTGCCTCAGGAGCACGTGCTCCGGCTACTTCCTTGTATCCTGTTCCTTCCCCAGCTTATCACAGCTCCACATAGCACTGCCCACTGCCTCGGGAGCATGAGCTCCGGTTACTTCTCCGTATCCAGCTCCCATCCCAGTTCACCACAATTCCGCCTAGCACAGCCCCTGCCTCGGGAGCGTGAGCTCCGGTTACTTCCTAATATCTTGTTCCTACCCCATCTTGCCACAACTTCCACGTGGCAGTAGCCAACATCAGACAATCCCTCACAGAAGAGAACAAGCATTTATTAAGTGTCTGCTATGTGCTAGGCACTGTGCTAGATGTTTTACAAGTAGTATTTCATTTGATCTTCACAAAAACTGTGGGAGGTAGATGCTATTATTTTCCCCAGTTGAAGAAACTGAGGCAGACAGTTTAAGTGCCCAAGGTCACAGAGCTAGAAAGTATGAGAGATTAAGCTTTTTAAAAATAATTATTAAACTTCTCTTTTTGTGCCCTTCCCTCATATTCTGGTTACCATCCACCCAAGTTTCCTAGATGCTCAGTCTCCCATTAACTTAAATGTCCTACTATAGCCTGCTCAGCCCGCCAAAGAACTCAATGCCTACACGTTACCCATTTTCTTAACCCTCAATCAAAATTCTTAGTGGTATTGTGAATGAGACACTGGACTTGGAGTCAGAAAGAGGTGGGTTCCAATCCCACCTCAGACACTTAATAGCTGTGTGATTCTGGACAAGTCACTTAATTTCTCTGTACCTTAACTTTCACATCTGTAAAATGAGGAGATGGGACATCTGGCATCCAAAGTCTAGGATCCTATGATCCTTCAGTGTGGTTAATTACAAGGAGAGCTAGATGGACCAAAGATGAAGAGACCTAGTTTCTAGTTCTGGCTTTATCACTAGCTGTGGTTCCCTGTACCAGTAAGCTGATCTCCCTGAGCCTCAGTTTCCTTGTTTGAGTGAGGTAGGACTAAATGATTGTTTCCTCAGGTTGCTATATTTCTGCAATCTTAGAATTTGGGGGAGGGAGTGGGGGAGAAGATAGGAAGTCTGATTGGCAGGGATCAGGACACTATCCTTTGTCCAGCCCATAGCTCTGTCCTTGGTCCTGCTCTATGTGTCAGTGCTTAGCATAGTGCCTGGCACGGAGTAAGCCCCTAATAAATGTTGACTGACTAACTGTCCTATTCAATATTTACTTAAGCTACTTAGAAATAGAAGGAAATAACAAAATTTGAGATTACATAGAAGCTGGAAGAAAACTAACAAATTGGATGTAGCAGAATTAGAAATAAAAATCTTAATGGGTATAACAATGAATCCAAACTAATAATATGAAAAATGTGAAGTTTCACATTTGGGTTCAAAAAAATCAGCTATACTGGTATGAGATGATGAAGACCTGTCCTAACAGCAGTTGAAGTAAAAGTGTTCCCCAGTGATTTAGATTAAGTTCAAGCTACATATCAGTAAAAATATTACATAGTTGCCAAAAAGTCTAATAAAATATTGTTGTTGTTTAGTCATGCCTGACTCTTCTTGATCCCATGGACCAAAGCATGCCAATGCCATCCATGGTGTTTCCTTGGCAAAGATACTGGAGTGATTTGAAATTTCCTTTTCTGGTAGATTAAGGCAAACAGGTTAAATGACTTGCCCAGGGTCACACAACTAATAAATGTCTGAGGCCGGATTTGAATTCAGGTCTTCTCGACTGCAGGCCCAGCACTCTATCCACTGAGCCATCTAGCTTCCTCTTAGTAAAATATTAGACTATATTAATAGAAGTAGAGGAATACCCCCACACAATGACATTAATTTGATTAGGAAAAAATACTGTATTAAAACATTAGGCAAAACACCATTAAAGGGGATAATTAGTTCCAATAGGTACAATATTTTGGGACATCCAGTAAGCAACATAGTGATGGTAAGCAGATGATCCCCATGGGAGTTAACCCTCTTCGGACTTATTAGCAAACTCATTCTTACAGACCATCTGATTGGTTGAATGGCTAGAGATTTTACATCAAGATTTTGTGAAGTTATATTTATAATGCATTAATGATGTTCTTATAATAAGGGAGCATGGTATAGTATGTAGCTAACCAGTCTTGGAATCAGGAAGACATAGGTTCAAGTCCTGCCTCTTAGACATACTAATTGTGTGATCATGGGCAAAGCATTTAATCTCTCAGTTCTCACCACCACCACCAGGTTACTCTCTAAGAGTACGGGTTGCAAAAAACAAAATTGGGGAGGAGGGGTGTTTCCTCACTGAGAGGCCCCTATGCCAATGAAATCAGACTCTCCCAAAACCCATCACATTATTGTAAAGTGTTGGTTCAGGCCACGGTATGCACATGTTCCTATGTATAATGTCCAGAGCAAAGGGGATTACAGTCCCACAGAGCAGACAACATCTGGAACACTGGGTTCAGTTCTGGGTGCCGCATTTTAAAGGACTGGATGGAGTCTAGAGGAGGGTTATGGAGGTGGCTTAGCATCTAGTAATTATGTAGGACAAAGAGTGATTGAAGAAGCTTAAGTATTTTTAATTTATAAACAAAAGGCTTAAGGGGATGTGATAGCAGTTTTCAAATATTTGAAGGGCTGTCATGTGGAAGAGGAATTAGCTTTGAATCTCTTTGTCCTTGTTCTCTTTTTTTACTCCCCCCCCCATTCATTCTTCATTGCTCCAGAGGACATAATCAGGACCAAATGGGCAGGAGTTAAAAAGAGGGAAATTTTTGGCTCAATATAACTTTCTTACAGTTTAAAGTGTGCCTAAGTAAAGTAGGATAGCCTTCTCCCTTAGGCAGGGAGTTCCTTGATACTAAAAGTATTTAAACAAAAGCCGACTGGCTGGCCACTTAGCAGAGATGTCAAGGAGGAGATTCATGCTTGGAGGGGTTGGGGGTCAATGACCTTTAAGGCCTCTTACAACTGTGAGAGTCTCTGATACTACTGGGCTTAATGGGATTCTCTCTATTGACTTTTAAAACTTGAAAATGGTTTTTTTTTATTACTGTAAAACATTTTCCTAACATGAAGATCACATTACAGAAAATCATGTCAGAAGTTGAAAAAGACCTGAACAAGTCTCAGCCTGAATCTGCTCCCCAAACCAAAGGGAAAAGAATGGTTATTCAGGAAATAGAGGATTCAGAAGATGAAGATGGAAAAAGAAGTGGAGAACATGAAAATGGCAGTGGAGATAAGAGTAAAATATCATTTCTTCAATTGTTCTATGAGAAAAAATACCATTTAAAGAATTTAGACTGGTTACATTTTTCAGTTTTGGACATGGGATTCTCCAGGTTCATTTCAGCCATACTTTTTGTTCTGAAAATTACTTTTCAGGTCATTCTCCAAGTTATTTTTTTTTTTTTTTACTTTTTCCAGTTGTTCCAAACCTCCCCAGTTTTGTTCTTCTTTCAGTTACTTGCTTTCACTCCTGAACATCAAATCTTTAATATGAAACTATGACTGTGCCATTTTAATACCATAATTTGCAAGTAAAACAAAAATTTCAATCTTAAATGAGAGTTTATGACCATTTGCTTAGTGGCAAATAGAGGAATTGACTAGAAAGTGAAAAAAAAAAAGATTGGGTAGATAGCCTCATATACATCCTTAAACTGGGTGAATCAATGAAGCATAGTATTTTTTGCCTCTTTAAAAAGTTCTGCTTTCAAAAATAAAAGCTCACAAAGAGAAGCAATGTGGAGAAAGTTCTATTTCCAAAAATAAATTAGGGATCCCAAAGAGAGGCAGTGAAACTCATCCAAGGTTATACAACTAGTAAGAAGCAGAGCTAGACATGAGCCATTCTCCCTGGTCTCTGAAAGCTGTGCTCATTCTACCGTACCCCAATAAACTAGGTTCAAAACCTGGATCTGACACATGTAACCCTGATTAAGTGGGCCTCAGGAAAATGAGGGTAACACTACTAAACAAGGTTGTGATGAGGAAAGTCTTGGTAAATCTTAAATCACTATATATGTGAGTTATTATAAGATATAAGCTCAGTTTGCAGGAGTTAAAGTATTTCTTAAAACAAAAAGAATCTTTAGTAAATAAAAGCTAGGTGCTATAGTGTGGATAGAATACTAGGCCTGAAGTAAAATACCTGAGAACCACCTTAGGCGCTTACTAGTTGTATGACCCTGGGCAAGTCAGGTAACATCATTTTGGTTTGCCTCAGTCTCCTCAAATGTAAAATGGTGATAATAATAACACACCTCTCAGGGTTGTTGTAAGGATCAAATGAGGTAAACTTGTAAAGTACTTAGCACAGTGCACAGCGCTCAGTAGGCACTGAATAAATCCTTCTGTCCTTCTTTCCTTTTTTCCTTCCTTTTTTCCTTCCTTCCTTTTTTCCTTCCTTCCTTCCTCCCTTCTTCTCTTCCTTCATTCTTTCTTTCTTTCCTTCTTGCCTCCTCCCACCTCCTTCAAAATGTAAAATGAAAGGAAAAAAGGAAAAAATAAAAACATGTGTTTCCTAACATCTAGGGCAAGGTTGGAGGACTTTTTTTTTTTAAACATTGAGGGCAACTAACCCACAGAAAAACAGTCTGTAATTGTAATGGGCTACAAAGAATATAAACCTTCATTTAATAAATGCAACAAATAAAGTTAAAAACCTTCAGTTTCGTATTACGACTTAGTAAGATAGTAAGAAATAGAAAAAGAAAGACGAAAGACTGGAAAGGAAGGGGAGAACCATCACTAAGAGCAGGAGGGAAAGAAAGAACCAAAGCGAAAGGAATGAGTGAGGGGGCCAGTATCTTCTCACATTTGGACCTCACTCTGGGCAGCCTCCTTCTCATCCCCCGCTCCTGCCTATGCAGAGTTTGGCCTTTCGGTTTCCTAATTCCACTCCCCTGCAACTCCCAGCAGCTTAAACCCTCCTGGTACACGCTGGAACAGTAGTTCAGCGCGTGCATCTCTTCCTCCTCAGGCAGCCCAGGCTGGAGACTTGAGCTAGTGTCTTCTCTAACTCTGAGAGTGCACCTTAAGCTCTGAGAATGCCCCTCGTTAGCGACATGGACTCACTTTCCTTGCACATAGCTGTATTTGGTCATTTCTTCAGGACTCAAAAGAAACGAGAAGATACTTGATTCTAGAGAATTTGATACAGGCTGGATGAAATTAAGCTGAGGGGCAGAAACATCAGAAAGACTCCTGTGGCAGCGCTCAGGAGCGCTGGGGTGCTCGGAGGACCTGTGGGTCAATCAAGCGCATTTATTAAGCCACTGCTATGTGGTGGGCAGTGTTCTAGGGGCTGAGGATATAAAACCAAAAAGGAAACAGTGTTTCCTTCTCTTCAGCTGCTTAACAATTTAATACAAAGCTTGGTCCTTCTCAGATAAATTGGGGTGGGGGGAACACCTTGGATTCTCTTTGACATCCATGTTTGTTTTTGGCTAGTTGTGCAGGGTTGACCTTTTGGGTTAGTGCTGCCATTCATCATTCACTATGTTTGTTGTTTATTTACTTTTCCTGCGGAGCCTGCTAGAGCCTTCCCACGTGTTAGTTTTCTCTTTTGTGATGGCAGTTCATAAACTAGGTCATCAATGATCCCTTCTTAGGAAGAGAGGGTATTAAAACTTGCCTCTAGGGCTTTACACTGGATCTTAAGAAGGCATAATTCTCTTGAGAAGGTTAACACATTTTTCCTCTGGCTTCAGCGGAGCCACACGAATAGAGCTTTGCTTATAATTTCCAGATTTTTATAAGACAAAAATCAGAAACTGACAGGCTTATTGGAGATGGAACAATTAAGTATGGCTGACCAGGTGGATGTGGAGGTTAGATAGGTAGGTAGGTAGGTAGGGTGCCAGACAGATTAGTTCGAACTTTATCCTGAAAGCACTGGAGAGCCATCAGGTGGGGCATTCCTAAGCAAGAGGATGACATAAAGGAATTGGTATTTTATTTGACTTGGGTGTGTAGTATGTATTGGAGAGGGAAGGGACTGGAGGCCAAAAAACAAGTTGGGAGGCCATTGCTGTACACGAAGAGACTAGGGTGGTGGCAAGGAATAGAAAAGAAGACAGGAAGGCCGGGTTTCCACTAGTACTAATTGTCTCCACCCACGCTGACCATATTAGTTTGGGTAGATGCATGGGTAGGAGAGGCCAAGTTAAGGATACCAGAGTTGCCTTATATTTAGGGTCCATAATGATATCCTTTTAATGATGGAGACCAAATCATACATTTCTTATACTTAATTGGACCTCAGTGCCAGGTGCTTGGTAGGTGCTTAAGAAATGCTTCTTGATTGATTGACCATAAAGGAAACATTATTTGGTGGTGTATTTTTAAATTGAATGACTAAGTGACCTTTCACTGATTCCTCAAGAGAATAAGTTTTAATTACAAAATGAATCCCAACTCAGGATGCTAAATGTTTCCTATTACCCTTATTCATTCAATCTCTGCCTTCCATATATTGGTTTCATTACCTATAAAACACTTTGAATAATGTTTCTAGTCAAAATTACAAATTAAGTCTTTGCTTTGAAGCAAACCAATCATCACATAAGCCAAGTTTAACATTATATGTAATACTACACTTTAAATTTTGAAGTTAGGTTGTTATTCAGTCATTTTTCAGCTGTGGCCAACTCTTTGTGACCCTATTTGGGGTTTTTTTGGGCAGCAATAATGAAGCAGTTTGCCATTTCCTTCTCTAGTTCATTTGACATATGAGGAAACTAAGGCAAACAAAGTTAAAAGACTTGGCCAGGGTCACACAACTAGTAAGTATCTGAGGCTGGATTTGAATTCAGGAAAATGAGTCTTCCTGACTTTAGGCCCCTCGCTCTATCCACTGTACCACCTGGCTGAAGTTAGGTAAGGCCTAATAATTCAATTTTATTCTAGTTAGAGATTTTTTTGCATATAGTCATAGTCTGAGGTTAATACCACTAACTTATTTAGCATTCCTCAAATATTTCCTTCAAACATTTCTATAGCAAGGTTGATGGAAAGTTGAGAAATCTTTTCTAGACCTGAATATTTTTCTCTGAGAAGAATTTTAGATTTAGAGCTGAAGTGGCTGCTAGAAATCATCCCCTTCATTCTATAGATGAGGAGACAAAAGGGAAAATGAGTTGTCCAAGTTCACACAGGTAGTAATAGCAGAAGTAGGATTTGAAAACAGCTTTTCTAGCTCCAAATATAGCCTTCTATTATACTATCATGCCTCTGGACCGGTCTCGGGAAACAGGGGTTTGGATTTGGATAACTAAATCTGCAAGAGAAGGGCATCCTATGTGGGGGAAACATATTCTAACCGAAGGGGCAACAATAATGTAATGACTATTGACTATGGATTGATCACGTTTTAAAAATTGAAAACACATATTTGAAAGACTCTTTCCTGGACCCTCTATTTAATACTTTTGAAAAAAACATTTATTGGCTAATATGAAAATATGTTTGACATGATTGCACATGTATAACCTATATCAGATTGCTTACTGTCTCAGGGAGGAATCAGGGGAAGGAGGGAAGGATAGAATTTGGAACTCAAAGCTTTAAAAAAAACCCTAATGTTAAAAATTGTTTTTACATGTAATGGGGGGAAGGGGGAATAAAATATCATTTTTTCTAAAAAGAAAGAAAATAACATTTATGATGTAAGGTGCCTACTGATACAGTATTTGTGTCATTATACACTGATGTAAAATATATAGTATACTCACTTTAAAAATATGATGATACTAAAATCATAAAAGGCCAGCATGCTTTAGAAATGATTAGTACATGTTATCTCTTAATCACAATGCAAGGAAAATACAAATATGAAGAAGGCTGTTGAAAAGAACACAAGCACAAAACCTAACCTAGAGCCATTTAAAGTTAAATCCAATGTAGTTTAGTGGGTAAAGTGCTAGACTTTAGTCAGGATGATCTATATTCACTCTGCCTCTATCATTCATGATGAGCTATTCCTTGAACCACGTGACTCAGATTCATCAACTGAGGCGGGTTTTAATGCATATCAGTAGAGGGCGTTCCCACTACTGACACATCAAAGAGCCTAAAAGTATTGGTACATATTTTAAATATTTTATGCTTGAAAATTTCAATGAGCTACCATGTGTCTTTTTTTTTTCAAGAAAATCACTTAAAAACCAATTCATTAATCGAAATTCTCCCTGATTTTATTTTCATCTTTTACAAATGACCATGGTCTGTAATGGGAGAAAGCAAGTAGAGAACATGTGTATAATTTTGATGTTATCTAAAAGTTCTTGTCATTGTCAATATTTTTACTTTTAAAGTTGAGTCATATTAATTCATAAAATATTATTGAAAGGAAAAATAATATTATTGTTGCATGTATTATTTAAGCAATTTGATAGGTAGTTAACTGATAGTGAAAAAGCTGAATCCTAGTAACTCATTCCCAATATCATTATTTGATTAGTTCTCCTGTATTTAAAGAGTTAATGTTGCAGGACACAAATCTACAATTCGGTTGTACAAGACTGGAGGCCCTGAGGAGAAACAGGGGTGGCAAAGAGAAAGCAGCCCTGCCTGTAATACCTTCTTAGTGTAGAATACGCTTTCACTTCCTAGGCGTTTGTCTGGCATCTTCAGGTACATGTTTTTGGTCCCAATTTTCCTCAAAAAACCGACTGCCCAGTTACCTGGGGTTCGGTTCCTGGCTGGTACACCCCTCTGTTGTGTTGACAGTAGTTTCTTCTGATGATGCAAATTCTAACCTCCTTAATCAACTTCCTTATAGAAACCGATGTGCCCCTGAGAGGAGAGCAGAGAAGTGACCAGCCTGAAATGGGAAATGTGCAGAATAAGTTTACTGGCAAAGGCAATGGGAAAAAGTCCCGAGGAAAGGAGGCCCACAAGTGCAGAGATCGCGCCTTGAGTGGAGGCACCTCCCAGGGACAGAACTCCAAGCCTTCACCCAGACTCGGAGGGGAAGTCAATGGCCATCTCGAGAGTGACAAAACTGCAGGTGGGAGCGGTGGGGCCAAGGAGGTCTCCAGACCTGGACCGGCTCCCTCTCCTCTACCCCTTCCCGCCGCCACCGCCGCAGACCTGAAAAACCAAGGGAATGAGCTGTTCAAGAACGGGCAGTTTGGGGAGGCAGTGCTTAAATACTCACAGGCTATGGAAAAACTCCAGGGTTTAGGTGAGTTGTCATGTAATTTGACTTTGTTTCGTGGAGTGCCTAACTTCATGACAAACACAGCCTGCAATTGCTGCTAATTTTATTTGCAGGAATCACAGTATAAAAATCTAAGCCCAACCCTTTGGAGTGACAGGAATTTGCCGTCTGTAAATTCCTGTGTAATGAATAATGATGGTATGATCTGATTTATGAGTGATAACTGGCAAGGAATAGGAAGTTACTTGAAACGTTGCATTGAAGGAATCCTGTTTGTATTGATTTACACGTTGTGTGTGATTGCTGATTTTGTGATGGCTGTATCGGGAGTAAAGGGTTGCGGCTGAAAGCTTTGCACTGTCAGCAAAAACTAGTGCTGCAGTGCAACCAGAAGCTACAGGAGTCTTTGAATTCTAAGAAAAAGGGGTTTTGATAATTAATTTAAACTCTATTTATGTATAATTTTAGGAAGTGAAAGTGCCGATGAACTAAGTGTCTTATACTCAAATAGAGCAGCATGTTACCTAAAGGAAGGCAACTGCAGTGGCTGCATTGAAGATTGTAACAGGTAAATTACACCCTTTGAGGTTTGGAGGAGCTTGTTTGATTTCAACATTTTCAATGTATTTTGTTTTTGTTTTTGATCTTTCTTGATAAGGATCTAATTTGGCTAGGAATGTAGCCTACTTGATAGGTAATGAGGAAGCACTCCTTAGTTTTTGAACTAGTAAATGATGGAACAAAAGGGTGGTTTAGTAAACATTAATCTGGAGGTAATGCAAAGGATGAATTGAATAGGGAAGAATCTGGTGACTCGAATACCAGTGAAAAGGCTGTTATTATAGTCAAGATTTGATTTTTGTGAGGCAGTTGGGGTTAGGTGACTTGCCCAGGGTCACATAGCTAGTAAGTGTCCAGTGTGTGAGGCCCAATTTGAACTTAGCTCCTCTTGACTCCAGGGCTGGTGCTCGATCCACTATACCACCTAACTGCCCCTTATAGCTTAGCTTTGAAATAAGGGTGGGTGTGTATATTGTGTATATATAGCGAATCTTGTATCTACTATTTTTGCCTAGATTGCTTACTATTAGAGACTCCTTCCTAGTCTCCCTGTCTTTAGATTCATCCCCATTCAATCTGTCCTGAACACTTCATCCAGATTAATCTTCCCAAGCATCATTTTGATCAAGTACTGTAATAAAAAGAGGGTTTAAAGTCCTTAGGCCTGGGATTGGTTTAGCCTGGTTTAGCTGCTACTGTTGCTACTACCTATCTCACCATTTAACCTGTTTGGCCCAAGTTTTTATATCTGCAAAATTAGGGAGTTTTACTAGATCGACGTGGAGAACGTATGGCCTCGAGGCAGCAGGTTCCCCACCCCGGTACTAGATTATCTTTAAATTTCCCGTCTATTCCCTTCTAAACCTAGTGACTCTAGAATTATGTCATTCACTTGCTCAAAAAACGTCTCATGTGATACAGTCATTTTTTATTATATTTTTATTATAGCTATTTGTGTACATGTTTTCACATCTTTAGATTGTAAGGTTCTGGAGGTCAGTAATACCACATAAACTTTGTGCTCTTTATAATTGTTGGCACTGTAGCTTGTATGAAGTTGAAACTGAAATAAATACAAAAAGATACAAAAGTAGATACAAAAATAAATATTTGTTGAACACGTGATGATAATGTGACTTAAATACCTTAATATAGTAAAGTACCAAATTATATCTTGGAAAGGAGGCTATTTCCCTGAATAACAAATATTGAGTTTTCTTTTACCATTGAATAGTTTCATACCTTGGACCAAGAGGGGGCTTTTTAAGTGCATTAGGGCAGTAAATGTCTGTCCACCTGAAAGAATTAACTTTTACTTCCATAAGATGAATGGTTTACTCTTTTCTCATTGGCAGGATTAGCTCCATTTAAGTGAGTCGGAGAACTTATTACTCAAAAAATACTTCATAATACTTGTAACTAAATTATACAAACTCTTAACTCTTTAATTTTGCCATGATCCCATTTTAAAATTTATAGTTTTGAAAAATTTATTACCAAATAAGTTACTGACTTCTGTTTGACCCATAAACTTCCATTTTTTTTTTACACAAAATTCTTAAGAAAATGAACAATTGGCATTTGTCTCGGTGGAGCAGACAAACAATACAATACCTCTTCTAGAGATCGAGGGACACAAAGCCTTATGTGTTGGAAGGCCAAGAGCCTTCAGTCTCTCAAGCAGCAGTCTATCTTTCTGTTATTGTATAATGCAAGTTCTTATAGGACGTTATTGCTTTTCTTACTACTGCATTTTCCTTGTAATGGCATTGTATCCTGACCTCTGTGCCTAGACTGTCCTTAACAGTCAGGACTTCTGTCTAACAATGAACTTCTTTCATTTACATGGTTTTGGAATGCTATCCTTTACTAGTGAGCACTGCTCAATGTTAGTGAGGTGCCCAGAGGGCATGAAAGATCTAACTTCAAAAGTTAGTGGAGTGTGAGAATTCTTGAATGGTTTTTGGTGTAGGAGGAAATAATCTACTATCTTGGGGTGTAAGATTGGTTCTGGCAGGGAGGGTCCTTAGAAAGAAGCTCTGTCTGAGGGACAAGCGATCTAGCTCAGCTGATTACAATATAATGTCAAAAGGATAGGTTTATATTCTATAATCCACTTTTTCCAAGTGCTTTTTGATAATGGTGACTATTAGCCCCAAGCTAGGAAACCAGTCTGGGATGACCCAGTGTTTATTCTAGAGGATCAGGTATGTATCTTGTTTTGATTTCCTCTTATCTTTAGCGTGGATATTTTTGGGTTGAAGTTCTGTCTTTTTTGGCAAACAAGTAACACTGGAACCATGGAAATCTTTGGCAGCATATCACATCATCATCATCACAGATAACGTTTATAAAGTGCTTACTATGTGCCAGGCACTGTGCTAAGCACTTTACAATTATTATATCATTTAATCGTCACAACAACCCTGGGACATAGGTGCAGTCATTATGCCCATTTTACAGATAAGGAAACTAAAGCAAATAGAGATGAAGTGACTTGCCCAAGGTCAACATAGCTAGTAAGTGTGTGAGGCTGGATTTGAACTCAGGTCTTCCTAATTCTACTTTTATCAAACACCAAGTATACATTGTGCCTTTTGTAGCAAACACCAGGACATAAATAGTCAACCCTGCATTTGACACTGGAGTCATAGAGAAGACATAGGAGTACTCAGATGAGTTATTCTTTTCTCTTTGAATATTCCTCATAAATGTATGTAGTGGTCTCCAGGGTAAGAGACGTATTTAAATAAAGATTCCTTCTTTTTTGTGTGTGTGTGCTGCCTTCTCCTTCCTTCCTCTTTCTTCACAACAGAGGTACTTTCATCTCCCTGAGAGAGATATATATGTTCCATATATAGAGATATCTAGAATGAAGTCTTGGATCCAGGTGAAGATGGAGTACATATTCAGTTCTTTGGAAATCTGGGGCATATTTCTTCTTGTCCACATTTGGTGCAAGGAACAAGAAATCTTTATATACTTTTATGTAGTGGATATCAGGGTTTAATTTTTTTCAATGAACAAAATTCACCTTACATCCCTCCCACTGGAAAATAAAGAAAAGAAAAAACAAAACTCTTGTAACAAGTACGTACAGTCTAGCAAAACAAATTCCTGAATTGATCATGTCAAAAAAAAAAAAGTCTTACTTTGTTTCTTGAGTCCTCTGTCAGGAGATGGGTAGCATGTTTCATCATGAGTCCTCTGGAATCATGATTGGTCAGTTGAGTCGATTAAAGTTCTTAAGTCTTTCAAAGTTGTTTTTATGTTATTGTGTCCATTGTTCACCCAGTTCTGCTTCCTTCATTCTGCATCAGTTCATACAAGTCTTCCCAAGTTTTTTTGAAACTATGCTTTTTATCACCTACTACCTCTAGGAACAAATACAAAATGTTCTATTTAGCATTCAAAGCCTTCCACAACCTAGCCCTCTCCTACCTTTCCTATCTTCTTATACTTTGCTCCCTGACACATATTCCTGGATCCGGTGACACTGGCCTCCTGGCTGTTCCATAAACAAGACACTCCTTCTCTTAGCTCTGGGCATTTTCTCAGGTTGTCCCCCATACTTGGAATGCTGTCCCTCCTGTGCTCTGACTACTGATCTACCTAGCTTCCTTTAAGTCCCAAGTAAAATCCCACTTTCTACAGGAAGTCTTTCTTAACCCTTCTTAATTCTAGTGCTTTCTCTCTTTTAATTATTCTTGTTTATTTTGTATATAGCTTGCTTCATATATATTTGTTTGCATGTAGACTGTAAGCTCTCTGAGGGCAGGGATTGTCTTTCGCGTCTTTTTGTATCTTCAGCCCTTAGTACACTGCCTGGCATATAGCAAGTACTTAAATGTTTATAAAATTGAATTAAATTGAATTAATCATTTCTTACAGCACGATAGTATTCCCTGGTATTCATATACCATAATTTGTTCAGCCATTCCTCAGTTGAGGGATGCTCCCTTAGTTTCCAGTTCTTTTCCACCACAAAAAGAGCTGCTATAAACACTTTTATACTTAAGGGTCCTTTTCCTCTTTTGATTTCTTTGGGTTATAGACCTACTAGTTGTGTCAGTGGGTAAAAGAATGCATATCTGAGCAACTTTTGGGGTATAGTTCCAAATTACTTTCCAGAACAGCTGAACTAGTTCATAGCTTTAGCCACAAGTATATTAACATATCTGCTTTTCCTCAGCCCTTCCAGTATTTGTCATTTTCTTTTTTTTGTCAATTCTGCCAATCTGATGAGTGTGAGGTAGAGCCTCAGAAATGCTTTGATTTGCATTTCCTGATCTCCCTTAATTCTAGTGTCTTCTTCTGTTGATTATCTTCACTTTATATCACCCTATTGCAGTTCTATGTCACTTCTTGCCTGGACTATTATTATGCTAGTTTCCTGACTTGTCTACCTGCCTCTAGTCTCTTCCCTTCTCCAAACTGTCCTTTATGAAGCCGCCAGAATAATCTTCCTAAAGCAGAGGTCTGGCCATGACATTTCTCTTCTTAAAAACCTACAGGAGCTCCTAACTGGCCATAGTTTATGATACATCTAAGGCATTTAAGACCTTCCATGATCTTTTTCCAACCTTCCTTTCCACCTTTCTCTCCTAACACCCTCCTTCACATTTCCTGTGATCCAGCCAAACTAGGTTACTAGCTGTTGCACAGTCTCCTCCTGAGGGCTGTCATCTTCATTTATTTGTACAGGTAGTTCCCTGCACCTGAAATTCATTTCCACCTCATTCTTGCTATTGAAATCTTCTTCCTGTTCCCCAATTGATAAATGGTCAAAGGATATGAAGAGGCAGTTTTCAGATGAAGAAATCAAAGCTATCTACAATCACATGAAGAAGTACTCTAAATTACTGTTGTTTAGAAAAATGCAAATTACAACAACTCTGACATACCACCTCATACTTACCAGATGGGCTAATATCACAAAAAAGGAAAATAATAAATGTAGGAAAAGATGTGGGAAAATTGGGACACTAAGGCACTGTTGGTGGAGTTGTGAACTGATCCAGCCATTCTGAAGAGCAATTTGGAGCTATGCCCAAAGTGCAACCAAACTGTACATACCCTTTGACCTAACAATACCACTATCAGGTCTGTATCCTAAAGAGATCATGAAAAAGGGAAAAGGACCTGCATGTACAAAAATATTTATAGCAGCTCTTTTTGTGGTAACAAAAAATTGGAAATTGAGGTGATGCCCATCACTTGGGGAATAGCTGAACAAGTTGTGGTATATGAATGTAATAGAATACTCTTGTACAATAAGAAATTATGAACAGCAGATCTGAGAAAAACCTGAAAGACTTGTATGAACTGATGCAAAGTGAAATGAGCAGAGCCAGGAAAACATTATACACAGGAACAGCAGCATTGTGTGATGATCATCTATGAATGTCTTAGCTCTTCTCAGCAAAGACAATTACAAAGACTTATGATGGATAATGCTATTCACATCCACATGTTGGAGTATGAATGCAGATCAAAGCTATTTTTCACTTACTTTATTTTTCTTTGTTTTTTTTTCCCTTTTAGTCTGTTTCTTCTTTCACAACTGTGACTATTATGGAAATATGTTTTACATGATTGCACATATATAACCTATATCAAATTGTTTACCATCTCACAGAGGGGGGAGGGAAGAGAAAGGGGAAAGAGGGAGGGAGAATAATTAAGAACTCAAAATCTTATAAAATGAATGCTAAAAATTGTCTTTCCATATAGTTGGAAAAAAATAAAATACTATTAAAAAAAAAGAAATCTTCCTTCAAGGCCCAATGCAGGTGCCTATTCTGTGACTCATTTCCTGATCCATTCCACATCTCCACTCCCATAGGTGAAAGGGTCTCTTCCTCTGCAAATTTTCCTAAAGATTTTTGAATGTGTCTTTTGCTCCTATCATATTCTATCTTATACTATTTGTGTACAAATCATCTCCTCATAGTAGACTGTAAGCTCCTTGAATGGTTATTGGTTTAGGAGGAGATAATCTACTATCTTGGGTTGTAAGATTGGTTCAGGCAGGGAGGTGCTGAGAAAGAAGCTCTGTCTGAAGGGCAAGAGATCTAACTCAGCTGATTAGAGTAAAATGTCAAAAGGATAGCTTTATGTATTCTATAATCCATCTTTCCAAATGCTTTTTGATAATAGTGACTCTAAGCCCCAAACTAGGAAAACAGTCCAGGATGACCCAGTGTTTATTCTGGAGGATCAGGTATGTGTCTTGGTTTGATTTCATCTTGTCTTTAGTCTGGATGCTTTTGAGTTGAAGGTATGTCTTTTTTGGCAAATGGGTGACACTGGAACCGTGGAAATCTTTGGCAGCATATCACATTATCATTATCACAGATAACACTTATAAAGTACTTACTATGTGCCAGGCAGTAAGCTAAGCACTTTACAATTATTATATCATTTAATTGTCACAACGACTCTGGGACATAGATGCAGTCATTATCCCCATTTTACAGATAAGGAAACTAAAGCAAATATGGAGTTAAGTGACTTGCCCAAGGTCACATGAACACCTCCCTAAGCTAGGTGGTGTTCAGTGTCCACCATCAGTCGCTCCTTTCACCTTCTTTTCCCCAGTCATCTCTTCTTACCCCCTCAGTTGACCTGGAGCTTTAGAAAAGCTTTAGCTATATTCAAATACATAAATGAACAGTTCTTTTATTCATTTGACAAGAAGCTGTGATGGAGCACTCATTATGTACCAGACACAGTATGTATGTTATGTGCTGGGATGCATTAACAAAAAATAAAATAGTCTTTCTCTTCAAGAACCTTACAGTCTTTTCTCCACCATGATTTAGACGCGTATAGCCTTCTTCATGACCACCTTTAGGGTCTGACTCTACACTCTTCTGCTGGAGAGAGGCTTCTCAGAATTCCCTCCTGCCTCTCTGGCGAACCTCTTCCAGGCCTATTATTTATTCAGTTTGTGGGTATGTTTCTTTATACTTGTTAACTTCTTGCCTTGTAATTTTTATGACTGTCCTAGTCTTCTTTGTGATGGAGCATTTATTTGGAACTCTTTAATCCAATTGTGTCTTATTGTGTATTGTAGCTTACAGGTTTACCTGGGCACGTATCTTGTCTACTTAGGAGATTGTAAACTCCATGAAAGCTGAATTCTGTATCTCCCTCATATGCAGTACAATGCCTTAGGGGCTTATAACTGTTGGTCTGTGTTGTTCATTTCCTTCCTGCTCTCCATTGAATGCTGACCGTAGGCACAGTTGATTTCCAAGACTGAGGCAAAGTGCCAGACTGGGGGATTGCATTTGGTCAAAGGGACAAAACTGACAAATGTGAAACAATGAAAGAGTAAATGAAATGGCAAAGTGTGTGGTTTTGAATTTGCTTCTAAATAATATCTTTGTAAATTCCATTTTGTGTTTAGCCATTAATGTCCTGTTCTGACTTAGCTCTTCTGCTATGTCATCGGGCCACTGAGAGGAAATGGTAGTCACATGCTCTTTGGAGAACACATAATTCTACATTGTATAATCACTCTGAATTTCATGTTTGAAAATTAAAAATATTTTAACTTACATTTTGTAATTTTTCCTTTTCATTTAGGGCCCTGGAACTTCAACCATTTTCTATAAAACCTCTCTTGAGACGAGCAGTAGCATATGAAACCGTGGAGCAGTATCGAAAAGCATATGTAGATTATAAAACAATATTGCAGATAGACAACAGAATACAGGCAGCAAATGATAGCATTAACAGGTAAGCTAATTTTTGTTCTTTGCAGAATGGCTAGTATATTTGTAATTATTGTTATTATTATTTAATTGCTTTTAATTGATTCTCCAAGCTAGATTTCACAGAATTTTAGATGTAACAGTCTTTCAAGGAAAGTAAAATAATTTTATGATTGCTGAGAGTAGTTGAAAACATAGTAATATTACTATTACTACTCCAACTTCTTTTTTCTACATTAGTAAAAATCAAAGTCTTGGCCTGGGACTTGGTTACTGACTTTCTTTTAATCTCTTTTAATTTACTTTCCATTTCTGCCATCTTCATTGATCCAGATTTTGAAATCCATTTCAAAAGTTAAGTCACTGGTGCATCTTTCTTTTTTAGTGGGGAGGGGACACCAAAGAATACATCTCTTTTCTGACTAAATCCTATATGGATATAATCATGAATGCCTTTAAACATTCCTGTGGTTTCTCATCTATGTTAATATTTTTTCTCTTTAATGTCTAAAAATCTCACAAATCTTCCCACAGTGACATGAAAGTAGTTATACTATTAGTCAAGTTAATAAGCATTTATTAAATGCCTACTATGTCCCACAAAGAAAGGCAAAAGTACTGTCCCTGCCTCAAGGAACTCAAAGCATTATGGGAAAGACAATATGCAAACAACTATAAACATATAAGATGCACATACCGAGTGAATTAGAGATTATTTCAGAGGAGAAACTAGCATTAAGAAGGGCTAGGAAAGCTTCTTGTAGAAGGACTTGAACTGAGCCCTGAAGAAAGCCAGGGAAGGGAAAAGGTGTAGATGAGGAGGGGAAAGGTTGCAGGTAGTGGAGACAGTCAGTCACAAGGAAATTGGGAGAGGGAGGATCCTATGGAAGGAACTGCAGGAAGGCCAGTGTCACTGGGTCACATGATACATGGAGAGAAGTAAAGGGTAAGCAGACTGCAAAGGTAGAAAGGGGCCAGGTTTGAAGGGCTTTAAAAGCCAATGGGTATTAGCATCCACTGAATGAGAAAATATAGGATGACAGAGATGTGTTAGGAATTCAGTAACACTTTAAAATTAACTTCCATTTTAGTGATCACAATAGCATCTTTATGCATTTGAAAAAATAGTAATATATGTGAGATATTATTTACTCAGTGTACACCAGGTGTGCTTGCTCATTTATTATCAATCCATCAAACAGTAAAAATTTATTAAGCATTTACTGTGTGCCAGGCACTGTGTTAAGCACTATATTGAATCATACTGCATATTCAGTTGTAGCTAAATAAAGATCAAATTTACTTCGCTTGGTATGCATATGTGGACCCCTTACAATACTTACTTGGTCCACGAGTTGGGAATCACTGACCTAAATTATACAACATAGTTAGGAAAGTGAGAATAACCAGATAAGCCTGATTGGATCAGCATCACTAGTATTCCTGGGAATAGATTCATATCTCTAGTCAAAACACTGAATCTTCAGCTTTATTTGCTGTGGCAATAGAAAAGGTATTCATGATTTGCTACTCTCCTGGTACCACATCTGCTACTACAAGTATACATGTTTCTCTTCAGAGTTTAATGTATTTATGCCCACACGACTCTGAGTTTTATGGATTTATGATTTGTAAATGACACTTAGCTGGGATTAGTAGCAGTTCCTAATGGTGAAATAGTAAAGAATGTGAATATTTATTTAATAACACATCTATATTCCCGAGGGAAAATGGACTGTGTAGTTTTTTGTTTGTTTTTTAATGTGGTATTCTGGCTCGGCCTTGTAAGATTGTTTGGAATGAAAATGATAATATGATCATTTTGTGATATTTCAAATTCTGTCTTTGAGGGATGGTGTCCGGATCTGTGATTTTACCCACATAGGGAACTCCTAGTGTACAAACTCTCTACCCATGTGCATCAACAGCTTCTCCATGAGTTGTGATCTTAGAGCACTGAGATGTTATGTGATTTGTCCAAGGTCACACAAACCATATGTGACAAAGTCAAGATCTGAACTCAGATGTTCCCAATTCCAATATCAACTCCGTATCCAGGCTACCACAATTTCCTGACCTTATTTAGAATACTGTTCAATTCAGTAGGTATTCACTGAGTGCCTAGTATGTGCCATATTATATACCCGACTGTGGAATATATAAGAGAAGTCTGTGACTTAATCCCTACTTACAAGGAGTTTACAAGTTAATTGAGCAGATATTTTAAATGCATTTAATAATTTAGGGAAAATACAGGATACAATGTCCTCAGGTACCAAAATGTGGTCTATAGGGGAAGAGATCATTTTGGGTCAGAGTTGTTGAAAAAGGTTTCATAGAGGAGATAGTCCCTTAAAGGATGGCCAGGAATTGTGTAGTTGGAGAGGAGCATAGAAGGACTTCTAGGCAGGGGGAGCATAAGTAAAAATATAGAGGTGGGGGGATGAGTACTAGATGTTTGAAGGACAGGCTGGAGACTAATGTTAAGTCATAGGAAATACATCATATCAGTAAGAGAAGGCCAACTTATGGATGTCTTTGAATGCCGTAACACTAAGTTTAGACTCATTCTATTGTCGGCTGTTGGGAAAAGCACTGACCGGGGAGGCCAGAGACCTGATTCTAGGCCTTGCTGTTACTCCCTTTGCTATGCGATCTTGGGGTTTGTGATGTTTGTTTCTTCCTCTGATAAGGCAGAAGGATAGGTTTGGATGACCCTGAAGGTCTTCTCCAGGTCTGTCGATTTTCCAGTAGAGGGCAGATTAGTTGCCACTACCACACCTGATACTTACTTCTCCAAAGTTTTTATTTAGGGTGGACCCATTGCCAGTTATAACATTCCATGCTCCACTCTATTCTGGGTCTTTAGCTATACCTAGTTGCTAATGATCCTCAGATCTGGGGTAAATAAAAAATAGCTTCTCCTTATAAAAAGTGGTTAGGGTACTTATTTATTTAGCTTTTTCAGGTTAAAAAGTGCCTTACAACAGCTCTAGGAAGAGGGTAGGGCTAAAAATTATTAGCCCTCTTTTAAAGAAGAGGAAGTTGAATCTTGGGAGATGGTGACAGAGATGGTAAGTGACTTGTCCATGGTCATGTGGTTAATAAGAGTCAGAACTGGGATTAAAATTGAGTTGTCCTAGGCTAACACTCACTTCTTCCAACATACCACACTACCAAGTTCTGAAGGAGGAGAGAGACATGAGAAAAGTGGTGTTTTGGATTTTGTCAGGCGGTGATGGGCAGGATGGATTAGATGGGGGGTATACAGAGTCAACTTTCAATATCTCTACATTTTCCTCCAATATTTATATATTGATGAGGGTCCCCCTTTTAAAAAAATTTCCATTTTACTTACTGTTTAGGAAATCCTGAAGGCTTTATTCTCTTTGTGGCTATATAATTTTTGTAATCCTGTTAGAGGACTTGTCCAGCTTGTCTATATATAAAGGTGGAAGTATATATATGCCCAATTACAGATGAAATTATTTTTTAACCTTAATATCTATTTATTAATTCCATAATTGCTTGGGTTTTTTTTGCTATAATAAATTTCAATTAGGGAAAACTGAACATCAGTAGCCTTATTTTAAAGCAAAAGACATGCTCATTTAATTTTTGTCCTCTTTTAACCATATTCCTCTCTTCCTCTCTAGGCATCTCTTATGTTTTTAGATTTCCGTGCATATAGGTATTTCCCTGGCAACACATCACCTTTTTTCAGCTGCTTCTTCCTTCTTCTCTGCTGGTAATTCATTTTTTCGCTTGCGAATTCTTTCTCTAAATCTCCTCTTCCATCTGCAATTTGAGATGGTTCTTCCTTTATTTTCCACACTGAAGTGCATGTGTAAACACAAATAAATACAAGACCTCTGATACAGAGACTGACTTGAAGCTGACAGTGAATCCCACTAATTCTCAATAAATCACATTAGTTTCAGGTGAGCAGCAAGTATTGGTACTAAAATATGGTTAGAAATGCTTTATTCTAAAACTGGGTACCATTCTGTTTTGTAATCTTAAATGGGAGGTCTTCCAGTTTACTTGAAATAAGCCCAAAGATCATGATTTTTAAAAGTATGTTAGTATTTTTCTTATAGTCACTGGTAAATGCCAAAAGCAAAGTATGTTATAGAGTAGTTGGTTGTAATATGTCATTCTCTATTCTGTGTGCCTTGTAAATGTATAAATAATATAGCTGGAATAATTTGGGGGATTAAAAATACAAGGTAAGAATATCATTAACTATCAAAATGTTTTAAGAGGCAGTGAATATTATGTAACATTTATCCCTCATAACAGTTTTGTTATATTAAACCACTCACTATACAATTAGGATTTAAAACTGTTGGTGTTGATTTGGTTATTTTTAAAAATAATAACTTGGCTAATTTATATAATAACTAAATGTTGAAGAAAAACTTCCCCCAGGTCTACTAAATGCCAGTTTTACAATTCACCTCTTAAGAAGTACACTTTTGAATGTGCCTGTGGCCAAATCAGTAATATGTTAGTGAGAAAATATTTTTCTTTTAATAAAAATTATATGAATTTTATTTAATAGTTTAGAGCTCACTGCAACATTTTGTGTTTCTGAAGCCTCTTTAGTCTAATGTGTACTTAGATGGCAAGTGGCTGAAAATAGCTCAGCTTTATATGTTTTGCCCAAAGGAACATATCAAATGGCATCATAAGCTTACAAAATATTTGTCAGTTTTTCTGTGGGGTAAAGTCTTATGTACTATTACAGAAGCAAATTATATGGTCAATGAAAACAACTTTTTTCTCTCTCTCTCTTTTTTTTTTTAAGAATAACAAGAACTTTAATAGATCAAGATGGCCCAACTTGGAGGGAAAAACTATCACCAATTCCAGCTGTTCCCTTCTCAGTTCAGTTACATAGATTAGATGGAGGAAGTGCTGCAGTGCAGCCGACACAGGACGAAACTACTGAGTCTGGACACCATCAAAAATCACAGGTCACAGGTATGTAAATCATGTGTCATTTTAGGACCTCATGCATCCCTCAGTGCAAGGCCTTGTTCTAGGAGGAAGCCACAACTCATTTCATTGAAGTACTGTTCTTTGCTATATTCATGGTGTTACATAAATCCAAAATCAGTCTTTGTACGAGGGGCAACCAGAGGAATGGAAGGTTTTTTTAAAAAAAATTATGCGTATCATAGTATCTATATCTACATGATCATTTAATTATCATCCTTCAAATCAGTCCCCTTAGGAGGCTGAACAGTGATGTCGGGCAAAACATTTTTGGAATTCATAAAAATAATAACTAGCATGTGTAGGGTATTTTTAGGTGTGCAGAGCACATTACATCTGTTATCTCATTTGATATACACAACAACCCTGTGGAAACTGGGCCTGAAAAAGCTTGAATGCCAGCTCAGGATCACTCAGCTAATAGGTGTCTAAGATGAGATTCAAACCCAAGACCTCCCTGATCTGAGTCCAGTGCCCCATCACCTCTGCCACTTAGCGGCACATTTTTGGAGCTGCCTTCAGGGCCAATTTCCTGATCCCTAGGTGGTGGCAGTGTTTTGAGACCCTTCACCATTCTGGTCATCTCCCTGCATGTGGTCTCAAGCTTGGCATTGTCCCTTCCACATTTTGGCACCCCGAGTTAGACATAATCCGCCAGGTGTGTCCCAACCAGGGCACGGCACAGCAGAATTCCTCTCTTCTTTAATGTTGCCTTCTCTTATTGCAGCCCAAGTTTACATGAGCACTTTTGACTCTGACATCATCTTATTGACTCAGTGGGTTTTCCATTCATTAGATCTCCTAGGTCCTTTTTGACGTGAATTACTTCTTCTCCACGACCACTTTTGTCTCCTATGTCCCTCGTCCTGGCCCTGTACAGCTGATTTTTGGAACTCAAGGATAGAATATTCAATCCAAGGGGCATGTTGTTAGCGTCCAAATAGCCGTTCCAGATTCTCTTGATCTTTTTTGGATCCCAGTACTGTCACCCACTCTGTTAGGTGTCACCCATCCCATCTTTTTGTCATTTGTGAATTTAATAAGCTTGATATTTGTGCTTTCATACCTGTGAACTCCGTTAAAAGCTCGAAGAGACAGAATCTCAGTGTCTTCAAGACTCATGTTGATCTCTTAGTTATCACTTTATGGGTCCAGTTAGTGAACTTCTTCCAAAATCACCTTACTATGGGTTCAAGTGATCTTTGTTAGTTTGTTTGTTTTGGCCTTTGTATCCCTAGAGCCTGCCCAGCACAGTGTCTGACATTGGAATAAATGCTTGTTGAGCTGAATCACTCTACTTTGTCGACAAGTACATCAAAATGCAAAGAATAGAAAGAAAGAAAAAAGAAGGCCATTATAACAATTCTTAAAATACCCAGAAGAAAACAGAAGGCAGTTCAGAAGGAAGCAAAGATAAGCAGGACAGTTTTGAAAGTAATATGTGGAATTTATCATAAGAACTAAGCAGTATGAAATGGAGATTTGTGCTTTGATATAGAATTCCCTTTTTGTGTTCTATTATGTGTGAAAATTCTCTTTTTTTGGTGTTTAAGTTCAGCACAAAGTGTTTTTAAAATAATTACTAATATATCATGAAAGATTGTCAGATGTCTTGCTGAAGTCCAAATATACCATTGTCTGTGGCTTTCCCTTGATTTTCTAGTCTAATAACCCTTTCAGAAACAGAAACGTGAGGGTAACATGGCATGACTTGTTCTCATGGGACCCATTTTGGCTGTTTGTGATCACCTTCTCCCTTTCTACACAAACCTTCCTTTTAATAATCATATTTACCAGGAATCAACATTACCCTCATTGGTCTATAGTCTGAAGTATCTACCTTCTTCCCCTTTTTGGAAATCAAGGCAATATTTTCCTTTTTTCAGTCATGTTTCCCACCACCTTAAACCACTCAATCATAGGTGGTTCACCACTCCTATCTGTATGTGCTTTCTGGGGTGTGGGAGGGATGTAGTTGATCTGGGCCTGGTGACTTGAACTCATTTCATGCAGCTTAGTACCATCTTACTCGCCTTCCTTATTGGAGTTCAGTCCTGTTAACTTTTTGTGGTGGTTGTTACTACTGTGTCCTCAGTCTAAATATAATTCTTTGGTAGAAAAACCTGGGAAAAAAAAATCAAAGTTACAAGGCATACAAAAATCAGGCTAATTACTTCATAGCCAGAATTTTTTTTTACCCAAAGTACAGTTATCCAGCTTGATCTTATCAAACTTGATTTAACAAATTTGGTTCCAGATTACTCTTGGCTATTTCCAAAATCAAGGGATAAAGATTTGCTGCTATCAAGGATAGACAAAAGAATGTATAGGTGCCTACTATGTGCTAGACACTGTTGTAATATTTTACAAAAATTATCTCATTTGATCTTAGGTGCTATTATTATCCTATGCTATTATTATTTTACAGATGAGGAAACTGAGGGAGAGGTTAAGTAGAATGCCATGTACAGGGATCAGCAAGTTGGCCAAGTTAGTCAGAATGTAAAATGAGTCTGGATATATGGGTTAGAGCCTTATCTGCCAAGCAAAGTTATTTGTACTTTATCCTAGTGACAGTAGGAAGCAGCAGACAGTTGGAAATGCTGGACTGGAGCTCGAGAGAGAGAAGACATGGATATGTACAATGGGGAGTCCTCTGCTAGAGGTCATTAAGTCTACGGGAGTTGATGAGATCACCAAAACAGAAGGCCCAAGACAAGAAGCCATGTGTAGGGAACAGAATGTAGATAACCCAGCGGAGAATTAAGGAGTAGTCAGACAAGCAGATGGAAAACCAGGAGAAGGCAGCATCTGGAAAATCCCAGGAAGAAAGAGTGTGCACACAGAGGAAGAGGTCCGCAGTGTCAGGTGTGGCAAGAGGTATCAAGGAGGGTCAGGATTAATAAAAGGCCATTGGATAGATTAATCAAAAACTCATTAACAACTTTGGAAAGAAGAGTTTCATTCAAGTGGCAGGACTGGAAACTGGATAGCTAGGGCTTTAAAAGTGAGTATATAGATAATTTTCCCTAGGAGTTTGGCTATGACAAGAAGCTTGAGATAATGGCAGTGTCTAGTGAAAGATATTTTTTTTTTGGTTGGAAGAGACTTGGGCTTAGTAGAAGAAGGAGGCAATAGATAAAGTGAGATTTAAGATGAGGAGAGAGGGAGAAAAGGGAAAAAAGGGAGGGAGGGAAGGAGGAAGAGAAAGAGAGAGAAAGCGCAAGTTCTCAATGAATGATCTCAGTAAAGTGTGAGGGTGTGAGATGTGGTCCTTGAAGAGCATTTTGAAATGCATTGAGCCAGGGCCCTTTTGTACTGGAGGAAAAAGAAATGGATCCCTGCATCAAAAACATCTGAACCACTGTTTCTGAACCACCATTTCTAGAAGGATAGGGACTGAACCTATGATGTCATTGGGACAGAGAACTCCTCCCTGCTAAAGAAACTCTACCTATGCAGATCCCCACCTTCTTTGTAATTTACTGTCTTACAGAGCATCCTAGAGCACTGGGGTTTCAAGTGACCTGTCTGGGGGTCACACAACAGGTATACGTCAGAACCCAGGTCTCCCTGACATGGAGGCCAGCTCTCTGGCTACCACACTATATTGCCTTTCATTTCTAGTAGCTATGCCAAATATATAGTAGAATGTTAAAATTATTTTTGTTCTTTTTTAAAATCTAGGTTTTTTTTTTTAAAACACATTTTAAGTTTGTGGGATCTTCATGAATTCTAATTTTTAAACTTTTAAAATTTTAATAATTTGGATTGTAGGTATGATAGATATGATTTTTTTTTAATCTTTCTGGTAATGAGTAGTGAATGTTCTTCTTGTAGTAGTTGTACCCTTCAGTTCTCTGGCCCCAGGAAGCAAATTACCGTTTTATTTATAGCAACTATTTTAAAATTTTGTGACAGGTTCTGAAAAAAGAGTACCTTGTACATGAAAGGTAATGTAATTGTCCTAAATTTTAATAATTCAGGTTGTAGGTAAGATAGACAATCTGTGAATGACATTTAAAATTAAACTTATTAAAGTTTCCTAGTCCTCAAGAACTTGGTTAAGGCCCTGTATTTGAGCATCATCTTGACACTGCACCAGATGGTGTAGGGAGATGTTACAGAGCATGGTCGAAACAATTGCTATGACCTAGGGGTATTGCGTTAACAACCATGTCTGGTATGCATCACTGACCTTTTCCAGACCTCTCAATGTTTTCTCTGCCTCTGTCACCCTGTGGCGACTTAGACCTCCCTAAATTAAGTTGTACAAACATACCAAGTGAATTTTAAAGTCCACCCTGGTACTTAATCTTAAGAACTCATGCTAGTCTTAACTGCACAATTACTGTACTTTATCATATCCAGTATTTTTTTTTTCCCGTGTAACATTGATACTCACAAGAAGAGAGCACCAGCATTTTGGTTAACTTGAAGTAGGTTTGTAAACGTTTCTACCTTAGAGCCACCAGTATGAAAAGATTCCCTTTTTCCTCCCACAAAGGTAAAAAACATGAAGACATGTTTGCAACCCTTAAGGAAGAAGGAAATGAATTTGTAAAGAAAGGAAAATATAAAGAAGCTCTTGACAAATACAGTGAATGTTTGGAGATAAATCACAGCGAATGTGTCATCTACACAAACAGGTAAATTTGGGTCTGACCCATCACCTTGGACAGGATTTTTACTGGGTTAATGCTGACAGCAGATCCCTGTGGACGAAGTTGCCATTATTATTTTTTGTGACTTTGGGTTTAATAACAAGTTCAGTTGTTTTATTCCTATCCAACTCTTCCTGACCCCATTTGGAGTTTTCTTGGCAAAGATACTGGAGTGGTTTGCCATTTCCCTCTCCAGCTCATTTTACAAATGAGGAAACTGAGGCAAACAGGGTTAAAGTATGTGAGGCCAGATTTGAACTCAGGTCTTCCTGATGTCAAGAATCCACTGCACTGCCTAGCTGCTTCTGTTTAATAATATAAGTTGTTCTGACTCAGTGTTTCTCCTTTGGGAGTCACATAGCTTCTAGGGGTTGTTTATCAGGTTCACAAAAATTATTGCTGTTTCATAGAGTAATTCTTCTATGGTCATCTTTCATATCTCTCTCTAGTTCTGTTCACTCTAGATGTGTCCTAGATGAGGCAGAGCCCATTCATTGAGTTTTCTAAGAAGCAAAGTCATGGCAGCTAAAATTGTCATGGAGTGACACAGAGAATTTTTTGCTTCCCCAAGCCTTTTCAGATGAGTTCTTCAGATGTAACCGTTCACTGTGTCTGTGTTTTCTTTTTCATCTGTTGACAAGCCAGTAGGCCTCATTATTCAATGACTATGAAAAAGTAAAGTTTCTAACAATGTGCCAGCAGCTCCCATTGCAGAAGCCTCAGGTCACTGACTTTTGGCTTCCGTTTAGCATTCGTGGTTGTGAAGTGTGAAGATGTTTGAGTCACTGCCTTTTATGATGCTATGTTCCCTACCTTGTTATACTAGGGCCCTTTGTTACTTGAAGTTATGCCAGTTTGAAGAGGCAAAACAGGACTGTGACCGAGCTCTTGAGATAGAAGAGGCTAATGTCAAAGCTTTCTATAGGAGAGGCCTTGCTCACAAAGGACTCAAGGTAAGAAACAGGGGAGGATATGTGTTAGGAGACAGTGTGGCATGGTGGAGAGAGTCGAAGGCCCTGGGTTAGAATCCTGGCCCTACTCTTTGCTGCCGTCTCTGTGATCTTTGGAGAGCTGTGGAATTTCCCTCAGCTTTAACTTTCTCTTCTGTAGCATGTGGAAGTCAGATGAGATGACATCTGAAGTCCTTTCCAGCTCCAAATTTATGATCCCATGAATATCCAAACAGAATTATTTCAAAACAAATCAAGTGGCTTCCATGAACAAAAACATGGGAAAGATGAAATAACGTAATTTCTAACAGAGGTGAAAAAGAATTAAATTGTCAGGACCAACAAGCATTTTATTAAGTGTCTACTCTACGCATTGGGGATATAAAAGGGGAGAAAGAAGGAAGGGAGAGAGAAAGGAGAATTTACCTTCTGTTTACGAGATAAACATGTACATATGTAGGTACATAAATATATACATATATATGTGTGTGTGTGTGTGTGTGTGTGTGTGTGTGTGTACAAAATAAATATAAGGTAACATGATAGGGAAAGTACCAGCAGCATGGAGAATCAGGAAATGCTTAAAGCCTTGAAGGCAACTAAAGCCGCTGAGACCTGGAAATTCCAGGCATGGGGGACAGCTAGTGCAGAGACATGGAGAGGGAAATGGAGAGTCATGTAGAAAGGATATGAGAAGGCCAGTTTGACTGGCCATAGAGTTCGCGAAGGGCAGTCATGTACAATCAGGTTGGAAGGGTCATTTTAGGCCAAATCATAAAGCGCTCTGATTACCAAACATAGAAGTTTATATTTAATCCTAGTGATAAAAGAATCTATTACAGTTTACTATGAATTATAAATCCAGAGACCTTGAGTCTACTTCTGCCTCCATATTAACTAGCTTTGGGACCTTGAACTAGGCAGTTTGACATCTCTGTGCTTTATCTATGTAATGGCAGATTTGGATTTTAATGGTCAGTGCCTTCTAACTCTAATATCCTGTGATTTTACACATAGATTTTAGTTTATTATGCTGAGTTAATTCTTATCATACTTAAAGTAAACACAACTAACAAGGGTCAGCAAACTGTTACTGATGACAACCAATATTACTAAGTAATTTCCATAGGTGCCACTAGTATGACATGAGGTTAAAAGAGAGAGACAGACACAGAGACAGAGACACACAGAGAGAGATCGAAGAGGAGAAAGAAGAGATTGGAAAAGGTCTCTCTTTGGTAGAGAGAGCAACATGAGCCCATCTAAGGCTCTAAGTGGAATGACCGACATAGTTGGGCATATGTTGCTATTTGATGCTGGAAAGGTGAGGTAACAAGTTTGTAGCCCATGCTAAAGAAACATTTAACTTAATGGAAAGATGGATTTTTGTTTTATATTATATTTTTTTCCTTTGCATTCACTCTGTGTGGAAATTGTGATATTAAAATATATCTCCCTAAAAATGGAAGACTGTTATATAACAAACAAAAACTTAGGAATATATCAAAAGATATGTCTTGATGATAGTTCTATTTCAAAATCATTTAAATTGACATTGTTCTCAGAAATTACATTTGCAGAAATTATATGAATTCTATGAAACTGACAACTCACATCTTCAGAGTCTGCCACAGAAAGTTTGTGTTTAATGGAGTTTCTCAATACTCTATTCAACTCCAATACTTCAATACAAACTGTGGCTTTCAGTGACTTGGCTCTTGCCACTTTTTTTTTTTTTTAACAAATTTCTACCTGAAGGTCTGAGTGACCTTTCTGCTCTTTGTTTTCTGAATGCCAATCACTATATGCATTTGCTTATTTTAAATGATTTGGCATAGCAGAGCTATTTGGAACAAATATGGGCATGAGGACTGGTTTAAGTTTCAATTGAAACTTCGGTTTCCTTTTTGTTTTCTTCTAAAAATTGCCCATCACCCTTCTTTAAGAATCCTTCACTATGGTCGTGGCTACTGATTTGTATAAATAAAAATCTGACTTTGGTTAAGCTCTCAACAATTGTTTCTGTCCAGGGCAGAATAATAATCTGAATTTAGAGACTCCAAGATAATAGGGAAGGTAGAACTAAGTTTTTGCTTTCATTGTGAGAATCGTGTATAGGTTTTGGTAAGCACAATAGTGAAAATATACTTGGGCAGGTTATAATAATAGAGGTAAACCACCCAAGATGGGAAATTTGCAGCGAGGGCTTACATTAGGTTGGGCTCTCACCAGAGCTTAGATTTGGTATACTTTTTAAAGGCAGGCATAAAAAGGGCCAGGAGAGGGTACAATTAGCAGTGAACAATGGGAAAAGTAAATAATCTCTAGTCTTGTTCCTGCTCTAACCTTTAACCGCATACTTTGTCACCATTGGGAATACGCCTCCTTACTAACATGGATGAATGTTCAGGTACAAAGATACCTTTTAAACATATTATTCACATTAATCAGAGGCAGCATGGCTTAGTGGATAGAAAGATAGCTTTGGAGGCAGGAAAACCTGGATTTTAGTTTTGCTTCTGACACATACTGGAGCTCTGTGACTGACACATAGACAAGTCTCATTGCCCCAAAGTGATTCTGTCAAATTCTAAGTTACTGTGGAATTGCTGCCTGTATCTGACCTGTATCCATGGAGCCAGTTACCATAGCTACAGTTCCCAGGACTGAAAAAAAGCACAGATATGAACAAAAAAATAACTTCTATAATGATTTTAAATGCTAAGTGAAGATTTACCTGTGTGTTTGTAGGGAGGGTTTGAGGGTAAAGGGGAGGGGTAGCTTTAGAAAAAGAGGCACTTATCTGTTTTGTTAGCTGAAGATGACACAAATTGCATGTTTGGTTTCTGCAGGGAAGGCCATTGCTTGAGGGCACTTGAAGAACAGAAATTTGTACTCTCTTAGGATGAATGACTATATATTGTCTTGTTATTCTTTTCTTAATTTTTTATATCATGGGACCATAATGTATTTTTCTGGTTTGACTTCTTATATTCTATCTGCTTAATTTATGGGCTAGAGTGTAACAATAGTGTCTGGGCTACATGAATTTTACTTCAATAACTTCATCTTTTTAGAATTCAAATTCACTTTCTCATAATGGATGTAAATGTGTAAATGTCTTGGGTGCTCTAACTTTGGTGTCAAGATTTAGTTGTAGGTGATTTACCTCCTTGACACCAGTTCAATACTTAATTTCCCAAATGGACTGCCCTGTCTCATCCAGTAGACTTAATAATTTTTCCTGGTCCAAGAACATATGGGCCAGTTCCTCAGAAGCAGGAGATACAGGAACATTTGCCTTTTTTTTTTTTTTAGCAAGATAAAAAAGCATCTAAACAGTGACTTATTACAAAATAATTATTGCTGTTTTAGCTTTTAGATTTACAATGTCCCAAAAGTCTTAAGCTTAAAACTGTGATAAGACTTTTGGGACACTGTGTGTGTGTGTATTACAAATATAATTTCTGAAAACAATATCATTTTAAAAGATCTTTAAATATACATTTACATATTTATGTCCATGAAGAGAAGGGAA